AGTGTTGTTCGCAGACGTTTCGTAGCTAAGCTAGGCAACATCATCAGTGCGACTTCGAGGAAGCTTCCTCGGAGAACTCACCAACATTCGGAAGATTTGTTCCAAATGAGACATTTGGTTGTAGGAATGCCATTTTACCGATACCTTGACCGCTATTCGTAAGAAACAACTATCCTCGTCCAGACACCGCCTTGTGGAATTATAACACTAGTAAGTGGGGCTTAATCTGCTCGTATTCTATTTGTGAGGTCAGGGGTTCGGTCCCCAGTAGAGTTGAGGGGGTTCGCACAGCTTTCTGAAACCCAACCGGGTCAAGACATCTATGCAGTGTTTCTTAGTTTTTCAGTTCATGCTTAATTTGCTTTATATACACGACGAGATTCATCAACGCAACCTTTCGTTAGGTGGCTACTCGACACACGTAGATAGCGTTAGTTTGGTGATTTCCCTCCCCCAATTGTGGGATCGTACTTGTATGATATTTTTTCACTGGTTATGGTTTTCAGGCGACGACACCATGTAGGCTTAAGCGATAGACCCTGTTAGTTTCTGGTAACGGTGACGAAGATGTGGCCATGGTGACATGGTTTCTTTGCAGAGTGGAAAACTCGGAGTTCGGAACGAATTTAGTCCCGTTATATAATCACAAGTCCAGGGTTTAGCGATGGTACAACTTAAGTGCAGGAGTGGAGCACAGTGGCGGCTAATCAGAAATCAAGGAACGAGGCGCCGAATTTATGCACAAATATTCATTCCTATAGAGACCCTTTTGAACTGTTGGTCAAACGGTCTGCACACGTCATTCACAACTCAAATATGAGACGGCACAAAGACGTACTAAAACTTCGATGTGCGGTGTTTTTACTGTACTACCAAGACAGACTAGTGATCGTTGTCACAACTGGATACCAGAGATGGGGTGGAAAGTAAATAAAAACGGTTTCTATTCCGGTAAAAAAATTGCTACTCAACGTTGGTTTCGCGTCTCGTTCCCAAGGTGGTTTCATTAGGAACCACGTAGGTGTACGGTGTATGTTATCTTGTGGTATTAAACGCGCTGTTTTCTAGACGTCCCTCTTCAGATAGATTTGGTCGCTCATTTCGTATGGTTTTAAAAAGTGGTTTTACATTCCATGATGAGATTTTGCACTTTGAACGTGTGAACAAATTCAAGTGGTTTATGTGATGCATGCGTCATGTAAATGAGGCGTGAGCTGGGAAGCACTGGACGAATGTTTTTATCTGGTTGGGCCTCAGCAGTGTGAATCCATCGAACGCGGTACCCTAACAGGTAGAACGCAAGCATCTTACCCACTCGGCCACCGGCGAACTCGTGCATATCATTAGCATAGTGGCTGAACGCCTTAGCAGTATCCGTCCATCAAACTCCAATGAGTATGCATTGCTCGTGTCTGGTGGGAACACCGGGTGAGCAATGACGAGGTCCGTCGTAGAGTGTCGGGTGCGGATAGTCGCCCTCTAACAGAAGTAATCGCTCTACACCGCCTCCGATGGCTGGGTCACGTATTGCGTATGCCTGCCCATCGACTACCTTTCCATGCTCTCNCGTGCCGGGCAAGGCTGGAAGAAGCGGCACCGCGGTCAGACCATGACATGGGCTAGAGGCATGAAGAAGCTGGCTTCGGCTGGTGCAGCCCGCCTTCCAGGTTGGGGATGAGGATTGTCGCTGGTTAGAGACGCTGAGAGATATGGCGCCAAATAGAATTCAGTGGCGCGAATGCTGTACGATCTGTCTGTCGAAATCCCGTGTCCCTTAAGAAAAACGAAACATCAAACAACACAAAAACATTGCAAAAGGCGTACGGTGAAACACAAAAAGTTCTGTTATCTTGTATTTTCCCATGTTTAACTGTNCTGTTTCACCCACTTTTCACTATGTTCTGTATCTTAATCCACCTATCCCCTTTCACTTTCATTGTTGTTATTCTTGTTGCGTTGGCACCATGTTTTCAAGCCGGTGGTATATATATAATGGGTATGCATCGCGAGTTTGACAGCAATCAGTGAAGTTCGCTTCTCTTTATTTGCTGTACGATGATGGTGATGATGACATCAATCGCATAGAGACTAAATACCTGGTGGCTTGTGGGTCATTTTGATTAAGCAAATTACATAAGATGGTGTTTCCAAACAGCAGAACAATTCACACCTTAAAGGCTAGACGACTCACCCGCACAAGGATCCGATTGCCTTTAGGGGATAGATCGCATGACAATCAAGGGTTCCATAAGGATGAACTCGCTGTCTTCATTTTTAGCGTTCTTTATTGGATGCGATTTTGTGCTTTTCGATAGTGGTATCGACGTGCTCCCACCAGGCAGGTTATTTGGAATACGCAGACCGTATAGTGTTGCAAGGAGAACAGCTAGGCATATTTAAACCCCTTCACGATATGGGCGTTAGTGTAGCAACCGTTTTGCCACTTCAGCGTAGACAGACGCACCAGGACTGAGTCAGTAATAGGCGACTCACTACCACACCTTATCTACTGAAGCCTTATATGGTCCGCCGCTCCAAGTATCGGGATCACGGTTGCCGGTTTCCTCACAACATAAACATGAATATACAAAAACACTTACTCTCGCTCACTCCACGCACTCATCACCCTCACCAACATTCGCGGACTGAACCGCAATGTTGATTCTGTGCGCCATTCTTCTCCGCAAGCCCTTTCT